GAAGTTTAGCTAACTGAGTAAATGAGTTTCATCTGGCTTGATCGATAGATATAACTGAGTATCATCTGCATATCAATGAAAGCTTATGGAATGTTTCCTGATAATATTGCCTAAAGGAAGCATATATAAAATGAAGAGGATTGGTCCGAGGACAGATCCTTGAGGAACTCCATGACTAACTTTGGCATGCATGGAGGACTCATCGTTAACATGTACAAACTGAAATCGATCTGATAAATAGGACTTAAACCAGCTTAGAGCGGTTCCTTTAATGCCAATGAAATATTCCAGTCTCTGCAATAGGATCTGATGGTCAATGGTATCAAATGCAGCACTAAGATCTAATAAAACCAGTACAGAGACAAGTCCTTTGTCTGATGCAATAAGGAGGTCGTTAGTAATTTTCACCAGTGCTGTCTCTGTGCTATGATGAGCTCTAAATCCTGACTGAAAATGCTCAAATAAACTATTGCTCTGTAGAAAGTCACACAGCTGTTTAGCAACTGCTTTCTCCAGAACCTTAGAGAGAAATGGAAGGTTAGATATAGGTCTATAGTTGGCTAAAACATCCGGATCAAGTTTGGGCTTTTTCAGAAGAGGTTTAATTACAGCTACTTTAAAGTACTGTGGTACATAGCCTGTTGATAAAGATAAATTGATCATATCTAGTATAGAGGTGCTGACTAAGGGTAAAACATCTTTAAGCAGCCTAGTCGGGATGGGGTCTAAGGTTGATGGTTTAGATGAAGAAATTATTATATGAAGCAAAACAGTCTAAACATGTATCTGGTTCTACAGCTGTTTCTAAGGTTCCTGAGTTAAGAGATAAGTCGGTGCCAGTTGAGGGCAGGTCTTGGTGAATTTTGTCTCTAATAGCTAGAATTTTATCATTAAAGAAGCTCATGAAATCGTAACTACTATGGGCAGCATCCCAGCTACCACCACTAGGGGCGTCTGATCACAGTGTGGTTCATCTTCGGCCTGTTTAAAAGAGGCTACTGGAGAGGGAGAAGCCTCAAAAAAAGGTCTGTCAAAGTGTGGAACAATAACAGCATTATGGCTCTGCAGGGGTGTTTTGACTGTACAGCATGGGATGTCTTTAAGAGCCCTGATATTAATGATCATGTTGTAGCAGTGTCTGATTATATTAACTTTTGTGTAGACTCTGTGATACCTACTAAGTCCTTTAAAGTATTTCCTAATGACAAGCCATGGGTGTCAAAAAAACTAAAGAATCTTATAATTCAAAAGAAAAAAGCTTATAGAAATCAGGATGAAACAGCGAGAAGGGACTCACAGAGGCAGATTAAACGACAAATACAGCTGGATAAGTACAGCTATAAACAAAAGATAGAGGCCACTCTGGCATCTGGTAATCCTAGAGAGACATGGCAAGGAATTAAAATTATGACCAATGTTCCACATAAGGGCAGGGGAAATTCTCCTCTGGTTTTGCAGAGTGAGGAACCTGATCTGGCTAACCAGCATAATACATTCTTTTGTCGTTTTGAGAGGGGCAATAGTACGGAAGCTGGGATACCCCTACCCCTCCCTCTCCTCCCCCTCTCATCTAACTTCACCATCAAGGAATCAGAAGTCCTCCAGCTTTTTAGGAAATGTAATTCTCGGAAAAGCTCAGGTCCAGATAACATATGTGGAAGGGTCATAAAACACTGTTCTGAACAGCTAGCACCAGTGTTCACTGACCTTTTTAGATCTTCTTTTAACCTTCACAAGGTCCCAACGCTGTGGAAAACATCCATAATTATACCAGTGCCAAAAACTCAGCGACCCACTGGACCAAATGATTTTCGACCAATTGCACTAACATCGCTGGTCATGAAGTGCTTCGAGCGTTTAGTAAAGAGGTACATTGTATCTGAAACTCAGCACCTCATGGACCCCTTGCAATTTGCCTATTAGGCCTCCAGGGGAGTTGAAGATGCCATTGGGACACTATTGCACTTATTGCACACTCACCTTGAGAAACCAAAGACCCATGCTAAGATTTTATTTGTGGACTTTTCCTCGGCTTTTAATACTATTCAGCCCAGTATTTTGGCGGATAGATTGGCCTCAGAATTTTCACTTGAACCTGGCTTGATCTTATGGATTGTTGATTTTCTTAGCTGTAGAATCCAGCAAGTCAGGGCAGGAACTTCTCTCTCTGATAAAATGTCTACTTGAACAGGCTCTCCTCAGGGATGTGTTTTATCTCATTTGTTGTTTATTTTATATACTAATTCTTGTACCAGCACTTTACCAAACAGGCACCTTATTAAGTATGCAGATGATACTGCCTTGTTAAGTCTACTATATGATGATGAGGAGGAGCACGGGCCAGTTCTTGACTATTTCTTAGAATGGTGTGAAAAGTCAAGCCTCCTTCTAAACACCACCAAAACAAAAGAAATGTTTATTGATTTTAGAATGATCCAATCATCAAATTCAACTTTTATCAACGGGGAGGCTATACAATCAGTCACAAATTATAAATATCTTGGCATTGTGATTGACCATAAGCTTAAATGGGATCTGTGGTCTGACCTCATCAGTACTAAGACACAACAAAGAATGTACTTCTTAAAGAAATTGTTATCCTTTAATGTTCACAACAAAATGCTTCAGATGTTTTATTCTTCTTTTATTGAAAGTGTGTTGGCCTTCTGCATCATCTGCTGGTTTGGTAATGCTACTGAGGCACAGAAGAAGTCTGTAAGGAAAACAGTAACAATGGCCAGTAAACTATTAGGGATCAAGTTACCAAGTGTGGAATGCATTTATAGGGAAAGGGTAAGGAACAAGGCAAAAACCATTGTGGGAGACAAGAGGCACCCCCTTGCCTCTTCATTCGAACTACTGCCTTCTGGGTGACGATATTGCCTCCCTCTATTTACCAAAAATAGATCAAAGTTTTCATTTGTGCCTCAAGCAATTAAGCTTTTAAATATGTAAGTTAATAGGTAGGATACTCAGCTGGTCTGGTATTGCCTAATCAAATAGGTAGTAAAAGTGCAGGGTATCGGGAAATATGTGTTAAGTGTATTAGTATGTGACTTTGTATATTTAAAGGTTCTCTTTTGGTGTATTTGTATGATGTATGTTGTATGATGTATGTTTGTAATGCTTACTTGATTGCCATGCAAACAAATTTCCTTACGGGGACAAATGTACTTACTTACTTACTTACTTGGCTCAATAGAGCTGTGACTCTCTGTCAGCCTGGCTACAGTGCTGAAAAGAAACTTTAGGTTGTTCCTATTTTCCTCTATTAATGACGAGTAGTACGCTGCTCTAGAATTACGGAGGGCCTTCCTATAAGTTTTAAGACTATCATGCCAAATTAAACGAGAATTTTCCACTTTGGTGGAACGCCAATTCCTCTCAAGTTTCTGCGATATTTGCTTTAATTTGCAAGTTTCAGTATTATACCATGGAGCTAACCGTCTTTGTTTTAGTATTTTCTTTTTTAGAGGGGCTACAGAGTCGAGTGTCATTTGCAGCGAGCCTGCAGCACTATCAACAAGGTGATCGATTTGGGAGGGACTGAAACTAGCATAGGAGTCCTCCGTTACTTTGTGACTAGATAATGTATTTAGAGCTGATGGAATCGCATCCTTAAATTTAGCTATAGCACTATCAGACAGACATCTTGTATAGAAATTTTTGCCCAATGGCGAGTAGATCAGCAATACAAACTCAAAAGTTATCAAACAGTGGTCGGACAAAGAGGGATTCTGTGGGAACACCACTAAATGTTCAATTTCAATACCATACACCAAAACAAGGTCGAGGGTGTGGTTAAAACAGTGAGTCGGTTCATGAACACTCTGAGAGAAGCCAATGGAATCTAACAGAGAGATAAACGCAGTACTAAAGCTGTCATTCTCAACATCCACATGAATATTAAAATCCCCTACAATAATAACTTTGTCCGTTTTAAGGACTAAAGTTGACAAAAACTCTGAAAATTCAGATAAGAATTCAGTATACGAGCCAGGTGCTCAGTACACTATAACGAAGAGAATTGGTCGCAGTGATTTCCAACTTGGGTGCGAAAGACTAAGAACAAGACTTTCAAATGAGTTATAGTTTGGTTTAGGTTTAGAGCTGATTAATAGGCTAGAGTCGAAGATAGCTGCAACTCCACCTCCTCGGCCTGTGCCTCGAGGAATGTGAGTATTAATATGACTGGGAGGGGTGGATTCATTTAGGCTAACATATTCTCCATCACCCAGCCAGGTTTCAGTAAGACAAAATAAATCAATATCATAATCTGATATTAGTTCATTTACTAGTACACCTTTAGAAGAGAGAGATCTGATGTTTAAGAGTCCACATTTAACTCTCCTATTCATTTGCACTATTGCTCTTGTGGTTTTAATTTTTATGAGGTTTTTATGCACAGCTCCTCTTCTGTTTACCTTTTTAAATAATTTCGATGGTCGGGGGACAGACACCGTCACTATAGGATTTTCACTAAGTAACTCCTGAAATGGAGGAGCAGAGAAGTGTGTTAGACTGTGACTCTGCGTAGGGTTTTGGGTGGGTAACTGCTGAAAAAGAAGGGCAGAGAAGTGTGTTAAACTTCGACTCTGCCTCCTGGTCTCAACTCTGGGTTGTCATGGATTTGGTCCACTAATAAACTTGGCCAGATTTCTAGAAATGAGAGCTGCTCCTTCCCAAGTGGGATGGATGCCGTCTCTCCGAATCAGACCAGGTCTTCCCCAGAAAGTCTGCCAATGATCAACAAAGCCCACATCATTTGCTGGACACCACCTCGACAACCAGCGGCGGAATGACGACATGCGGCTATACATGTCATCACTGGTCAGATTTGGCAGGGGTCCAGAGAAAACTACGGTGTCCATTCATGCACTAATGGTTCTGTAAGGAGCTTTGGATAAAAAAAATAATGGATTTTAAGTGTTGTGAAAGTTTTTCTGCTATAAATTTTAACCCAGTGCCCCTCTGTCTCTCTCTTTCTCTCTCTCTCTCAGGTTCAGAGATGGTAGAGGCTCAGTGTCAGAGGTTTGAGGTGAGGAGTACAGATGGTGAGAAAGTTCTGTTCTCTGCAGATGAAGAGGAGATCAGCATTGGCACTGAGAAACTTAGAGTCACAGGTAGGGATACCTCACATGCTGTACTTTCTTTTCTTTAAAGGTATCCTGTGGAGTTTATGATATCTTGTAGTACTGTGGAGGAGTTCTTCTATGAGTGGGTCCCTGTTTTGTTTGTGGATGTAAATAATGCAATAATTTTTATGTGGAATGAAAACCATTAAAAAGATTTGTTAGAGCTTAGCCCAACAAGGCACATTCAATATAAAGGTCCACATTATGCTAATTTTCAGGTTCATACTGTTATTTTGGGTGTATACTAGAATATTTTTACATGCTTTAATGTTCTAAAAGACATTATTTTTCTCATACTGTTCATTGCTTCAGCACCTCTATTCACCTTCTATCTGAACAGGTTGGAGGACCTAGGTTGCACAGCGCTGCTGAGCTGAATCAGTGTGTGGAAATAGGGCTGGAATTGCGAGACTAGGCCTCGCTGATTACTGTACAAAAACACAACTTTATAACTGGTTTTGGTGAAACTGGATCAGATTTTATGGAGAAGGGATTTTCTAATTTTCGCTGCGGTGTTCTCCACCTGCTCTGCCTCAACTTTCAGTGATTTATGGAGTTTGCCGATAGATGGATAGCTTTGCTTGTTGTTAGCAGTTACTTTAGCCGCCTACTACTACTTACAGTAGCTGCCGCTAGCTTGTTAGCTCTGGTCTAGCCATGCAGCTAGCCAACCTGTTAGCTGACTCTGCCCGGACTGGAAGCTTGGTGCTCAGGGGGGTGTAACGTTAGTACAGGAATTTTGGATTGCTGTTTTCAGCATAGCCAGCAGATAACAGCACCTACCATTAGCAGCAGCTAGTGGTTACTGTAGCATTAGCACCAAGTAAAGCTATCAGTGCATGAGGAAACTTCAAAAATCAAAAAATGTTGAGGCAGAGCAGCCGGTCGACATCAGAGGGAAAACCAAAAAAATATTTACCTTTACCGTCCAACATAACCGTAAAAGAACTTTCTACGAGACATACTGAACAACCTCCAGCTCTAGCTCTGCGAAGGAATGACCGCTTGGTGCTGTGTTGGACGGTGGGGCTGAGAGCAGTGTAGTCTGTATCTGTTCCGCGTGCTACTGCACTGAAGGGCTGGAGGAGGTTCTATACTGAAAGACTCAGCGGGGGAAAAAGAGAGAGGATAGGCATTGTGCAGTACAGATTTATATATATGTGTGTGTGTATATATATATATATATATATATATATATATATATATAGATAGATATATAGATATATATAGATATATATATATATATATATATATATATATGTATATATGTATATATATATATATGACATCATCATCACCACTTGTTGCTGTCTGAATTGTAATTAAAAGGGCAGTATAAATCGTATCACGACAAGAGTATCACGAAAAAGCTATAAATGGATGTAAATCATTCCACATACATAAAAAGTATAGATCGTTGTAGAGGTGGCAGTTTTGACAAACTCCCACTAATTTTTTTCTGCATTCACGAGGACGTGATGAAATTTTCATGATTTATGAAGGGGCAGATACAGTGGTGGACAAAGTAGGCTCAGAGTGATTTGTGAGTAACAATGTTACTTGAGGACGCACACAGCTTACAGCACATACACACGCTGTAAGCCGTTAAAGAGAGTGCTCGTGATGAGAGCAGCCAAACAAGACTCGGGTCAGCAAGCAGAGCAGTTTTTATTGAATTAAAAAAAGAAAGGTTAGAACAGCGAGAGAGATATAGTAGGAAAACAGAGAGACAAAGAAAGAGAAAAAGACAGAGAGGTCTTGAGATGAGGTTTTGAGAGGTCTGAGCAAAGGCAGGTGAGTATAATTGCAGAGGAAAAAAGGCAAAGTAATTCAAGTGAAATGAAAAGAAAAACTTAGAAATCACTAGGAAAATATAATATATGTTTTTTTGTCTTTCTCCTTTACTCGTTCTCTCGTTAAATGAGAGTGAGAAAATCGAACCGATGTGCTAGCAGGTAGGGTTAGCCTCCTTTGTGTTGCAACGCAATAGCAAACTGCAGCATATCATACACACACAAAATCAACATTTTGCATACAATAGCCACGGTTTTGTCAAAGCTTGTATATGTGACACCTGAGATGAGATCGGGTTGCACGCGCACACACACACACACACACACACACACACACACACACACACACACACACACCTGGGGAATTGGGCAGCTGGGGAGAGATGTTTATTACAGCAAAGACTGCATTGCTAATATAGAAGTTGCATGTAATTCTGCCGTTTAGAAGAATCAGCCAATTCAGGCCAGTGCCATGGATGCTAGTGAGGTATGATGTGTGAAAATATAACCCTGGTGTGAATTGTATTGGTTCCAATGTACTGGCTCTGCTTTGAAAACACTTCATGGGTATTGTGTACCAGGACAGGTGCCACCCTACAGGTTACGTCAAGCTCATAAACATTTCAAGTGAAACCAAAGGTAACACAATGTGGTTGACAGTGAGAAACATCATTGTGTAGCAATCAAACATAGAAACACACAGCAAGGTCAACCTTTAGCTGCCAAGAGACAACTATGTCTCTTCGTTCTGTCCTGTTAAATATGGTGTGCCTCAGGGGTCGGTCTTAGGACCCATTTTATTTTCCTTGTATCTGCTTCCCCTTGGACATATTATCCATAAACATGGCATTTCTTTTCATATTTATGCTGATGACACACAAATATACTTGCCCGTCAGATCCACAGACCCTGGAATGCTGAGTTCACTTAACAACTGCCTTTGTGAAGTTAAAAAATGGATGTCAAATAATTTCCTCCAACTGGACTCAGACAAAACAGAAATCCTGGTCATCGGGTCCCAGCAGATGGCAAATCAAATACTGCCATCTGCTGGTTCCCTAGTAAATCACATTAAGCCTGTGGCAAAGAACCTTGGTGTTTGGTTTGATAGTAATTTAAATTTCGAGCAGCACACCACAAAGCTTGTTCAATCATGTTTTTATCAACTTAGAAATATAGCAAAAATTCGATCTATGTTAACTTTTAAGGACACCGAGACCATTTTACACGCCTTAATCTCATCACGCCTGGATTACTGCAACAGCCTTTTCACCTGTTTAACCCAAAAATCTATTGATCGACTCCAGACTGTCCAGAACTCAGCTGCCAGGCTTTTAACCAGAACAAAGAAATATGACCACATTACTCCTGTTTTAGCTTCAATACACTGGCTCCCAGTGTGTTTTAGAATTGACTTCAAAATTCTATTGATTACTTTTAAAGCTCTTCATGGCCTCTCGCCTTGTTATATTTCTGAACTTTTAGTCCCATACACACCAGCACGTACCTTGAGATCCTCGGGCAGAGGTCTGCTATCTGTTCCAGAGTCTCGACTGAAAACTAAAGAGGACAGAGCGTTTGCTGTCAGGGCCCCGAGGCTCTGGAACAGCCTGCCAGAGGAAATCAGGTCAGCTGAGTCAGTGAACTCTTTTAAGTCCCTTCTTAAAACATACTTTTATAGGAGAGCCTTTCCCGATCTTATTTGACTTTATTTTATCCCTTTTATTTTATTGTATTTTACTAATTTTATATTTATCTTAAACGTGCATTTTAGTCTTTTCAATGTTTTCATGCTTTTATCTTGTATTGTTTTTGTATTATTGTCTCTTGGGTATTATTGTCTTTACACTTGTTAAAGCACTTTGTAACATGTTTTTGAAAAGTACTCTACAAATAAAGGTTATTATTATTATTATTATTATTTCCACCACTGTTGACCTTTTTTATTTTCTTTTTTCCTTGTGTTGGCAGTTGCACAGACACACATTTATGCAGTGTTCAGTGGGCCTCGGAATAATCCTCAGACAACAGGGTTTCAGCTGAAAAATGCGGTAGTACCCTCCAAGTTTAGGTCCTTTGGCGGGCACTGCACCTTTTTGGAGCTGAATGTTACCAGTGAAAATAAATATTGCTACTGGAAATGTTGTCATATTTGAACATAATTTGTAAGACACACAGAAGATATGAGCACTGTCTCATGCATTTTAAGTGTCTGCCTCAGCTCCAAGAACAGAGGTATGATGCAATGTTGTGCAGGCTTTCACACAAAAGATGTATGTGTTTTCTTTTCCCTTTCTTTCATCCACTCTTAACCTCTCTACAGGGAATGAAGGAGTGGTGTTCAGCCATTCTGTAGAGACATCACATGTGAGGGCAGAACCATTCCAGGACTTAAAGTAAGTACTTCAGATACATTAGAGATTTTCTTTTTTGCAGGTATGCATGGGTATGTGGAGTGTGTGTGTGTGTGTCAGACAAGCAGTCTGATTCTGGTTCACTTTACAAGTTCCCCTCACTGTTAATATTTTAGTTGTAGTAGAATATTTATGAAGTGTATGTTCTTGTGAATAATTACTAAGATAGTAACACCACAAATAACAAAATGTGCTGTTACCTAAAAGTTAAAGCTCCTGAGTTAGCTAACTAGCCAGTCCTGTGGTGTATGGTGTGTTCTCATGACTTACAATCAGCTCACTGTAGAAAGAGGTGTGCTGATGACTGGCAGTCTGACAGGCCTGACAGAGGGTCTAAAAGCCCCCCGGGCTACAGTGTACACAGCTCAGGCTGTCAAATGGAGCCTTGTACACATGTAGTGCATGGTGGATGCTCAGTTTCTCCTACTACACATGGAATAGTGTTGATTACTTGAATTCTATGAAGACACAGTTTGCATCAGAAGAAGTTGATTAAACTGATGTAAGCTAGTGAGGGCAAGATCATGTCAAGATGGAAGGTTATGGTTTATCTTTTATTTTTATGAACAGGGTAGAAAAAACACCAGTTGCTCCTCCCTTATGTTTACGCAACACAGGTATCCTAAGCTCATTCTGGTTGATTCCCAGCTAAATGTACGTATTAGTGTGTGTCTTCTCCTCGTTCCCTCCCCTGAACTGTGTTTTGTGTGTCTTTCAGACTCATTTTAAGTTCCTTCACTGTCAAAGCCTCAGCCTCATTCAGGGATTTATTAGACAATGTTTAACTGAAGTGGCTTTTGGCCAGAGAGGAAAACACAAACAGAGAAGGATGAAGGGAAGGAGATGGAGGCAGAGAGAGAAACAGAGGGGAAGTTGATAAAGTAAAAACCTAGATGCATGGAAGGCATCTGTACATGGGAAAGGGGAGGAACAGACATAATTGACTGGATAGAGGGAGAAGAAGCAGGGCAGGGGTAGAGGTGGTGAAGAGGACAATCAAAAGATAGAAGGAAAAGAAGACAGAGGGCAGAGAAGAGTGACAGAAGAAAAGAGTTCAGGAGGAGGGGATGGAAGTAAGTGTCTAGAAGAATAGATTAAATCGAACTGGCTCCTGCAGGGAGTTGTAGCAGCAGCAGATAATGGGATACAGGAAAAGTATGAATGCAATCAGGGTGTGCAAAATAGCCACAGTTCCTTGATTTTGTATTGAGGTGTATTGTATTTTGTATTTAAAGTTTAAAATATTGAACCAAACTATAGGACCGCTTGTTAACTAAAAAGTTGCATGATTTGTTTTTTTGTGTACTGACGACACCAAGTGACATGTCAACCATCATGAATTTTGAAAAGTGATGAACTGTAAGACTATGCTGGTTGCTTGATATTCTTATAATCCTTACATTTCTTTATTCAATCAGTTTGCATCAAACCTGCCAGCTGCACCGTCAATGGCTCTTTCTTTTTTTCTCTAAAACCACAATAGAGTCCCAGTTGAAACTAATTCACTTTTTACACTTTATTGCATTGAGTAAATTCCCTGCTCAAGTTGATGCTGAATTTTAACTCAATGAAGTGATTGTTTGTCTCAGTCTTCCATGTATGTCATTATTTTAGTTAGCATGTATTCATACTAACTTTAATGTTATTCCCCATTGTTTTGTACATAGTGGGACCATAGATGGAAACTAACATTAAAGGGCATCCCAGTTGCTCATTGACCATAGACACATGATTGCCAAATCCTGGGTTTGTCTTCATTCTGTCTCTTTGCCCAGTATCCCCATTTCTCTCTTCACTATATAATTTCAAGCAATGACCTTTGAAAAAAAACAATAATGAAAAGAAAATGTGTCAGTCATAAAAGAGATTCAGAAACAGATTGAAGTTTAAATAATATGATGGATGGAGAGAAAGAGACAAAAGAATGGTTAAAAGCAAAATGGGTAATAGTAGAGGAAATAGGACCACATACATGGTGAGAGATCAAAGGAGAGGAGAGGGAGTGGGTGAACTCGTAGGAGTTAGATTAGTTGAAGAAAACTGAGAAACTGATAGAGGGAGGAGGAGAGGGAACACTGGGTCAAATGGAAGGGTCAGTGCAGATAAGCAAGGCAATGAAACCTGTGGTTAAGGCCTAAGGTGAAGAAAGAGAAAAGCAAGCACTCTAGAGACTGTTGTTATACATTCAACACAGAAAATCCATTTGGGCTGATTTATTATGTTTCATCAGTTTTTGTCATTAATACCTCTGCGGAGTGGAAAACTAATTATTGCTGTTAAAAAGCACTTTGCAGATCAGTTTTACCTGAATATACCATATCATCATCAGCATCATCACAATCAGGACTGTAACTATGAAGTTATTTTAGAGCCAGCACAAATGAAATCTGAATTTGAAATATTCAGACTGAATATTGTATCCAGAATTTAAATTGTATTTCATAGACTAAAACTGAATCAAATTGTTTGAAATAAAATGTTGACAAACGGAAAATGAGTTTAATATTCATACATGTGTTTTCATTAGTGTATAATTGGATTGGATTTGTGCTGGCACTAAATTAATTCCATATGTCACCACCACAACAGCATGAATGTGTGGACATAGCGAACAAATATTACATACATTCAACAAAACATATCCACATAAACACCCATAAATCTATAAACACACATTAACACAAATATAATGAAACAAACCACACGTGGTTTGCATTATACAAGTATAAACCACCCATCGAAGTGCACAAACACTCACTCCACTGCAGGGTTAATGAAAACCATAGAAAAATAACAAAGGCGATTACATGCTTCAGATACTCCCCCCCCCCCCCCCCCCCCGCTGCCGTCAGTCATTAGCTGTTAAATGGTAGAGAAAGAAACAACAGACGCAGTTTTTAATTGAGGTGCATACAATATGAATAGATATTTCACGCTGCTAGTAGAGATTGTATCAACATGAAAAGAAAGTGCAGGTTCTCTTCTCTTTTCCAAATTTACAGGCCCTTTTTTCACCCTAGATTTGAATCCCTTTCTGGCTGGAATGTTCAGTTTTTCTTTTCTGTCTTTCTCTCGTGATATCTTTGTCCTTATCTCTCCGCATTTCTTAACTCTGCCTTGTTGACTAACTCTCTTATTCACATACCCACTTTTGTCATTCTCATTCTGTCTAGACCTTCCCATATGTACATTCCTTCTCTCTGCCTCGATCCCCTTCTCTTTTTCTGTCTTGTTATGAAAAGTACAGCGTTATGCAGTGAAGGTAAATGGGACATGTAATGAGCGGATTGAAGTCCATTTAAAGCTAATGATCTGTCTTACAGTTTAACAGTGAGCAGGGGAGAGAGGACAAGTGGGAAACAAAGATATCAGGTACACACACTTTACATAATAAAGTACAGGTTAAGAAATCCCTATCAAGAAAGATACTGAATAAGTCAATCTGAATCTTACATACTGCAGTTAGTGGCTAATATTTTACTGCTTATTGTTCGACATAGTCACTTGACACAGTAATTTGGCTTCATTGTAGGCTGGAGGCAGAATAAATGACCCAACAGACAGGAAAGAGTAGATAATCGATTGGACTAGATACTTAACATCAAGTAATATTTGGGCAAACACCAAACTTGATGGCAAGTCTAATGGGGAACAAGCACTTGACAAGTTAAAGAATCAAAAACCAAACCAGTCCTGTAGTTAAACTCGACAATGTTGTAAAAATCAGAGCAAAAACAAACATGAAAGCATTTGTATTTGCATTCACTTTGTGTGACTCAGTCAGAATAGTCATGTGCCAATCACAGTGACCAGAGAGGGATGCAGTGAAGATTTCTATCAGTGTCGTTTAAAATGCTTCAGGAGTCTTGCAGTCTAGTAGATGTGACTGAGGCAAAAGAGACATGAATGCACAACACACAGTGCTAGAACTGTGTTATGCTAGTAGCACAGAAATAAGTCTGCTTTCCAGAGAACACTCCAGGTACGGTATGACGTGCCTTTTCAAAGCCTCTGGTGTGATCGCCAATGTAAGCCGTGTTCACACTATCCTGCTCTTTTCAAACTGCTTTTCCACTTGAAAGTGTACGGGGAGCGGCCGGAAGGCAGACAGAAAGCAGTCGCTTTGGAAAAATTGCTGTGCCTGGCATCTTTTTAAGCAGTGCGGTTCAACAACTTAGAGAAGCAGACAGTGAGTGACTAAATAAGAAAAAAAAGAAGCAGAGATTGACAATACGTAGGAAGCCAGCAACAACAAACCCGACTGAAAATGGAGGTAGTGGCGGGGGAAAAGATGGTAGTGGATGTTTCTCTGACAGGAGCACATTGGCTGTGATTTTCTTAATTTTTAAGCGTTATAGCTGGTACAGTATAGTGATAGAAGCAGCAACTGCAGCAAGTCACTGCGATAACAAAACTGCTTTTCATTATCAGCACAACATGTGGCTGAGGCAGCGCTTTAAGTACAAAAAACCAGTGTGAATGCAACCTTGGGTAGACAAGAAATGTTCTCAAATGTACGGATGAATTTTGAGGCAAAATGGGAGACATGTTGTCCAAGGAGATAACTTGTCATTTTGAGTCTCAGTTAGGTTTTTAGTGATATGACTGTGAATAAGTAAAAAAAATTGACAGTTTACCACAACCCATGAGCAGTACTGTGACATTGACAGAAGATTTGATATATAATATCACCTAACCTTTGCTTTAATGCAAACATAACTGTATGTCCTATTTCTTCTGTGGTATACACATGGAACTCAAGATTTGAGTATTTATTTTGTTTTGACCCATTCAGTATCTACTGAAGGTTGCAAGTCAGAAACATCATGGCTTAGTTTTTTTGTGGGTTTTATTTGTCCTGCAACTTTTCCCAAATGTTGCTATAACCAGCATCTTAGTTCAGAATAAAATGATTGCAGCCATTTCTAGTTTGATAAATAGTAACAAAGTAATTACAGAACTAGCGTCTTACATCATTATAC